TGCTAACATGCTTACCTGATAGGCCAGTGGAAATCCACAATAAAACTCTAGGAAAGGTTCCTCTGCTGTGCTTTGACTTTTCTCCCCATTTTCCAGAGTGTTTTAGTATGCATTCTTAAGATTTTTCTCCCCAGTTGGTTCTCTGTTTTCAGCATTTTTCAAAATGCTGGGAAAATACTTACTAAAGGTCACTAAATACCACAGTTTCCCAGATCTCATCCATTCTGTTTGTCTAGAGCTAAAGGGATTATATTTGTAGATTTGCATTAACTTTCAAACAGCAATTATAAATACTGAAAATCATTTTAGGTTCAGTAAGATATAGAATGGGGATCTGAATGTAAAGCAACCTTAAGATGGGCTTTAAGATTTTTTAGAAAAAGTAATAGCCAAATTTTAAGCTGCCTACATTTGTTTCAGGTTAGTATTTCACAATACTTTCATGTGAAAATGAAAGGAAACTTTTATACTAACTGGTGCGAGAAGAGCATCGTTAGAAACCTCCTCTCTTACAACACAATAATCCATTTCAAGTTTCTGAGATGTTTTATTTATGTTGTTACATCTAGTACAAGGTAGGTGAAAAATCCTAAATTTCTCATTATCTTAGCAATGCAGAGGCCAGCTATTCCTGTAAATTATTAAACCATGCTTTGACAGCTTATCATATTTTGACAGCCCTAAATATGTGCATAAGAAAGTTGCTAAAAATCTCAGGATTTTAAATGGTTTTGCTTAAATTTGTACAGTGGAAAAGTCATCCATCTCTATATAATAAGTATGCATATAGATTTCTGTATCATGTTTGCCTTGTTTTAGAATCATAAACGATTTAGAAATTGTGTATGATAGACATGTATGATGTTACCCATGACAACCTGACATCTAAGCCATCTACTTTCACGTCTCCAATTTCCTGGCCAACTTTTGCTTACACCTGATGGCACGTTATCTAATTCACCAAATTCTATAACATTACGACATGACAAATACTTGACAGAAATTTAAAATGCTGAAGTTCAACACATCTCAATGAGCAAAATATGTTTCAAAACTCTGTTTGGAAATATTGATGACTTTTACGGGTTGTAGCAATCCTGCACAGTGCAACTGTAAAATGTAATGTATTGCAAATTTCATCACACAGTTGATTCTTAAAATCAATTTGGATTTTGACACACATATATTGCTGAGATAAATCTAGGACTATAATATACAATTAATGGAATATGCTTATAGCTATGTCTGAAACGATCACACAAAATAAGTGAAGCTGCAGATGGAGTGCGGCTATTTTCAGCTACTGCAAAATATGGACAATCTCTCCTGCTACTACAATTTCACGCACAGTTAGTTTCACCTCTATTTCATCCTTCTACATTTTACACACCAGCAGTACTCTGCATCTGACAGACTGAGACTTAAAACTTGCAGCTGTCTAAAGCAATACTGTTTAAGCTAGCTTCTGAATTAGTCTGAAAGTGAATACAATATCTCTAGAAGAGGAGAAAATAACCAAAAGACTTTTTTCATTTTACTCACAGTCCAATTATGAAGTAATTAAAATATTTCACTGACAGGTTCAGCAGAAGTTAAGAGCAAAATAAATACTGGGTAACAAGAGCACCTCAGCTATTTTCCGCAATGTCAATTCACAGAATACTGGACCAATAACAAGACCAGGATTAATAAATATCTTTCAGGCATATGAAACAGTTGAAATCTGTAAACATCTCATTTGAGGTTGCACTGATGCTATTTAGCACAAAGTATTTTTAGGACTGGGCATTTTTACAGATCATTTGTGAAAAGCAGCAACAATATATAAAAATTCTCAGACACATGTGCTATACCCTTACCTTTAATTTTAAATTTTCATTTAAAATTCAGGCACAAGTCATGCAATAAACTAACGCTTGCTTTCTCTAACGCTTGCCACGTACTTATAAGAACTAACTTAAAATCCTGAAGTCTGTCCTGGAATTCCTAATGGTTTGCAAGTCTGCTTGTAGCAGAGGCTACCAACATGCTGTGTCACATGATGGGAAGAAATACCTGCTTGCATAATGAACAAGCTAGGTCATGTACTGGAATCATGGTTCAGAAAAAAAGATTCACGTACTTTAAGAATGCTCAGGCATGTAGTCACAGCATTAGCAAAACCCAGAGCACCACTGCTCTAGAACTCTGCAACATAAAAGGCTACTAATCATCAAGTCTGACATATTTAGATGCAAGTTTTTAGACTAAGATTTTAAAATTCTTCAAGAAAGAGGGTAGGAAAAAACCCTTAAAGATTTTTTACGTCCATTTACTCTTAACTATCAAATTGTCATTAGAAAGATTTCTATGGTAACCTGAAAAAAATAGAAAAAGGGAATAAATATAGCAAAAGGCGGCATTCAGTTTTTCTATTCTTCACACATACCATGTAAACACTACTGTAGCAAGAAGCTACTATAAATTAGATTATTACTTTTTACATAAGAGTAAAGTCTTAAACTCAATTACAAACACCGATTACAACCAGCACTATGTTAAAACACAAGTCAATCCAAAATGTGGTGATTCTGAATACAATCTGGTAGGATAATATTTGTGGTCAGTTCTCCCTACACTAATTTTCTACTGTCAGGTCTTCAAGGGAAATTACTCAGTAAGTTTTAAAAAAAAAACCCAACAAAACAAACATAACAAATCCAAAATGTACATTTCCAAGCAGTGGTAACAGTATTCAAAAAAATCCACCTTCTGAAACAGTATTCAAAAAAACATTAGAAATGATGTTATAATTTAGCACTCAACCATATAACCATAACATTAGAACAATGCAATATTTCTATTCACACATACAGTATGCAAAGCCTGCATTCAAACCTGGATATGAAAATACATGAGAACAGTATCATAATCACTCCTGTAATTCAAGCTGATACTTAACATGCTAGCTCCAAATCATAACTAGCATTTGTATTAAATTTCTTCCAAAATGTCACATAAGAAAAGATAAAATAATAATCAAGATGTACATTGAATTGTGCTATAGCTGCAAATTGTTAACATTTACTACAAAACACAAGCAGAAGATGAAACTGGATAAACCAACACAAATACATGAAAAAGAACAACTTACAATATACAGTCTCTGGGTTCCTATGAATAGACAACAAATTCTGGTTCACTGTGAAGGGATTTGTCGAACAATCTTGAGACCCCATCCAGCCCTATTTTGTTCTACTACATTCAGCATGACTAAAATAGAAAAAGTTTTGAGACTAAGAATATTTACAGTGAAGAGCCCTGACCACAAAATGGCATTTGATTGGTCTTACACAAGAAGTGTGATTATCCACATGGTGAAATCTAGGTCTGATTCAAGATAATCAGAAAAATATCCATTCATTTAAATTCTGTTGTTTGACCCAACTTTTATTAATGCACTGTTTACAATGCAAACTAAGGTACATACTTAAGTAAATTACTGAAAAACTGATAGACAGATTTTATTTTTTTTTCCTCAGAGGTCACACTGACAGAAATGAAATGTAACTCCCCTAGCTTATTTTCCTAAAAAAAGACAACACAAATTATCCTGCTTCACAACTTCTTGTGCTGCATCTTACGCACACTGAGGCAAAACTGTATGAATATTATGTGAGCAATTAAAAGCATTCACTCTTTAAGCAAGGACAGGAAGCCTTGCTGCTGCCACCACAACTGTTACTGGTTATGGTACACAACCACAGCACAGCTGTAGACCCTGTCATGTTTTTCCATTCCCTTTTAGCACACTTCATTAGTACATTTTATTCTGAAATTTTTCAGCTTTTGGGTGTGTGTATAGATATAAGAACTGAAGCATTTTCCAGAGACAAACTTCCCTTTATACAATTCATGTATCTAGCAAAGAAAAAGTCTTAGGTATCAAGTCCCATAGTGACTGTACTGAAAGATTACTGCAAGCATTCTTTTGTCAATATATGAAACAACGCAATTTAGTCTTACCTCTTCCCTTAGTAGCCTCTCAATATTAAGGAACTACTAATTCTCTGCAATTCTCAAACACTTGCTTCCTGATATTTAATATGCTGTGTCTAACACTGTAATCAGTGATTTTGTTAAAAATTCTATGCAATTTTTTTTTTTAAATATTATACTGAAGTTAACTGACAGGAGAAACCTGCTAGATTTTGTCAATAATATCATGTTGTTACTTACTCAGCTACCTCCTAGCCATTAAAAATAACTTCAGCATCTCTTCTCCTTGAAATCTCTATTCTCCTGATAATTGATTGGTCTTCAATGCATTCTAAAGTACTCTTAAATTACAACATATTTGAAAGGATGTATTCTTTTCAAGACTGAAAATTCTTCCTTGCTGACATACCTTAAGTAAGACCGATATTTACTTACTACAGATAAAAGAAATGTTTTGCCTTAGCCTAGCTGACTGAAGTACAGCATGGGCTTTGAGCAAGACTACTCCCAGTATTTCTAGCTGTTGGTACCTAGCTGCTCTCACCGCTGCAGAATGGAGTTGAGCAGTCCTGCTTCTGTCAGGTTTGTGCCACTTCAGGAGTAGACCCAACAGCTGCACCAGCCTTTTGGTCACTGGGACAGAACTATCTCAGCCATTACACTATGGGTCAGTGAACAAGCAAGAGCTGCAATCAAGAGCAGTCTCCTTACACTCTCTTTTTTTTTTTTTTTTTTCCCCCTCTTCAAATCCCATACTTCTTTCAATTTAAAGCAGCTGGACATAGCTCCCATTAGTCACTTCACACTGTCACAGAACCAATGGTTCCTCTGCTCATACAGGGACGTTATTTTAAAGCAGTATGGCAAGCCTGCAAATCTAGATCCTGTATTGGACTATCCAGAAACAATGCATTTTCCTCTTGAGATTATAATCCAGATTCTCATATATTTTTAAAATTAAAAGTCTCAAACAAAAAGTAACATGTTAAAATATTCCACAAAGTATTTGGTCCAAACCCCACCTTTCTGGTTTCCAGCTGAGCTTCTTCTTGGCAGCACTGCCTGCAGAACGGATCCAGCTGATTCAGATTGAACTGTCCAAGAAGGTTGCAAGAACTGCATAGCAAGTTACTGGAGAAGCCCAGCTCTCTGCAGGCTTCTGATGACAACTGTGCCCCATACACACTTATCTGAAAATCAATACAATGTTATACTTTAATAATAAATTAGTTGTTTAAAAAAGGAAGATTTTAAATGCTTTAATGGTTAGGAAAACCAACTAAATCTCTCGTGACCATTTTACAGTAATGCCTAATGGTCTGCCCATAACTGCCAAACACCACCTTATTTTGAGGAATAGTCTTAAACTAATAGTGAATTCTAGACAATTCATAATGTGTATACTTCAAGTTATCAGACCTGACAAAATTTACTTATATACACTTTCTGACAACTCTGCTGTCTTCCTACTGCTAGTTCCAAATTAAGAAAAAAAAACCCAAACATAATGAATCAGCTGAAACACACATGGCTAAAGCTGTCTAAAGCCTGCCCTTTCAAAACAATTTCAATAAATTTTGTATCACCGAAAACACACTTGGAAAATAAGTGTAACAGCTAAGCTTGGGAAAGACACAACCAAGGAGTGATAAAGTAGACCCAACTGCTCAAGTAGGACTTTAACTTCATGTTTGCATTAAGGTCACAGGAAAATTGCATACTAAAAGTGGAAGTGTAGATAAAAACCTGCACTTCTGATTTACTAATAATACATTAAAATAGGCAACTCAATTACATGGCTTCTATGCATAATACCAGTTCTGTTTTTAACGAGCAGCCAAAACAATTTGACCAAATATCCCAGCATTTAAATGGTGTTTGGTTTTTGTTTTCACATTCTCACCTCCCTACAGAGGGATTGCTCACACCCTATCTTAAAACCTTTCCTTCCATGCTTGGGGGGAAGGGGAGCACATGGGGTGGAAGTGAGAGAGGAAATTAAGAAAGGAAAGAAAGGAGACAATTTTCCCAAATGCTTCTCATCTTGGGTGAAAGGCCTTAGGCAAAATCCACAACATCCAAAACACCAACAAAATAATCAGCAAGTACCTCTGTGTTCAGGGAAGAGTAAGGTGATAACACCAAAATGGACTGGATGATAACAGACCAAGAGTCAGAAGAATTATGCTGGGCCAAACAGAAGAACACAGAAGAAAAATAAAATCTGTCCTTCAGCAAATCAGACTTCTCTTCACATTCACCCATCACTTAATATGTACAATGCACCCAAGTAGGGCAGAGACAAAACCCATTTCCTCCCTTGAACTGGCCAACCTACAGCCAAAGGAAAGATGTGTCACTGATGTGACAGACAGAAACTGCTAAGGATTAGGAATTGGTAGAAAATATTAGGTATCTCATTATTCTGTTTATCTGTAGCTGCTAAAAAAGTTAAAGCATGAACGGAAAATTATAATATACAGAAAATTATTTTGAAATTATTATTGTCAGGCAGAAAGCTATTTTTCTTCCTACAAGATGCTATGAAAGTAATTTCTACATATGACAGCAGGCAAGCAAAAATGGGATCACATTCCACTGGAATCATCTATTAATTATCCAATACACTTATTTTTGTGGGAGTGGGGTGGTGTGTGGGATGGGACGGGGACAGTGCCAACCAAAAAACAGTGTATGAAAGCAAGTAGTGTCCATTGCAAGAGAATTCCTCGGTGAAGAAGATCTGGTTACACAACGACCTCAAAGCAGCTTGAGAATACCGTCCCCCCTCATAGGAGGGGGAGGAAAAGTGGGAGAGCAGGGAGGAAAAGCTGGGGGCTGTCTCTTATACACA